GATGAAATATTTTTCCCTCAAAATTCTTTTCCCCAAAAAGCCTGTGTGCATCATCAGTTATTTTGCTTATAATGCTCAGGAACAAGATACATACTCATTTCTAAATTAAATCTGGCTCAGGCTTTTACGTGAAGGGGTTCGTGGGAAATCTGAATCTAGTGTTGCTTCTGGGTCCTGAGGGCTGTGCCCATCCTGGCAGATGAGATGGGAGAGCGCTCATGGTCCAAGGACCACACCTTAACTTGCAGTACTCACTGCCTGTCTGGCTGTTTGCTTTTCTGCCTCAGGCAGAGCTGCCAGGCACTGATTCTTCCTGAAGGGTATTCACATCTGTCCTGTCCCTCCTCATACCTCTGGAGTGCCCTGCTTGCTAGGTCCAGTCTTTACAACCCAGGAGAACATCCCAAACCACCGACCACCCTCCTTACCAGTGGAGTCACTTCTCAATCAGGGCTGCTTTGGGACTTTTGTGGGTTCCTGCCCACACAACATAAAATGGACAATACGATGTTTTAAACTATATTCTTAAGACTATTACAGTCCTAGCTATATTTGCTGCTGTCATATTCATTTTTCCTTCTGATTTTAAAAGAAATTATGAGTTAAAATATCTTCCTGGGCCCTGTGCTTGTGGTGCTTAGATTAGTGGGCCACAAGCCCCCCGCTGTGTCCACCTCCTTCCCTCAGGGCAGGTTCAGCTTCTTGCCCACTGGAGCCTAAAATTCTAAATCTATGAATTCTTCTGGGAGTAAAAGAAATTGAGAATTTTGAGTCCTCTTAACCTTCTTCGGAGGCATAGGTGAAATATCTCTCATTTGTGATAAGGCTATATCCCCCAAACTAGAGATAGTTAATTTTCAAACTTTGTTTTCTTGTCCCTTTAAACTGTTCACCATCTACTAAGGACAGAGGTGAAAATGAAGGTGTGGTCACTCTACCAGCTGAGCCTTTTTTAGTGAGCTTGTCCTCCTTTAGTTGCTGGGAGAGACTCGGAGCAGATGTGGGAGAACTCAGCACTGTTACCCAGGAAGAGGAGGGACTTAGGCTAGAAATGACAAGTACCTGCAGCCACGTCCTTTTCGGCTTCCTGTTTGGTCTCTAAATATCCTCAAAAGGAATCAACCAAAGTTTAGGAAGGTGGAGCTTTTGACTGGTTGTCTCCTGTAGCTATTGCCCTAGGTCAAGAGTCAAATAAGAAGGTGTTATAAAAAAAAATTGGAGATTTGGCTGCCTGCCACCCCAAAAGCCAAACTCGTGAGGCAGGCGTTGGTACAAAAGAAAAGGGGTTTATTCAGGTGCTACACTACCTGAGAGAATGGTGGATTCCTGTCTCAAAGACCATCTCAATCTTCCAACTCAAGCTCAAGATTTAGAGATAGGGAGGTGAGACTTTTTAAAAATATGATTATCTTTCTAGCTTTTGGCATGCTCAGGGCCCTATCCATTCATATTTCTAGCTTTCTGCCATGTCAGTTTAAGAACCTCTCCCTGCTGCCATCGTGGTCGATAGGATGACTCCCCTGACACTCTGGAAAGATAGTCTACCAGTAACAAAGGGGGATGGTTTTTAAGAATGGACAGTTTCTGGTTTACTTTGAGAATCATAGTTCCAAATTCTTCCAGATTTATTGTTGTTTCTATTGCATAGTCACTTCTAATTTTAAAGATACACCCACTGAAATCTCTCTAAGGGTATTATTTTACCTAATTTTAATATTGTTTTCTGTTTAATCTTTAATTTTCTAAGGTTTTTTCTCTTCAGACATTGAACTTGGGTATTCTTTATACAATTGGTATACTTAAATCATGAGATTTTGGTGGGCACACTGCCTTGCATCCAGATTTCATAGGCAGAGCCTGAACAATACCATATTGTTTTTATGTAAGGAGAGGGGGGTCATGTCCTTTTAATATTTTAATATAATCGTTGTAAAACAGAAGTGTGGTTACATTGAAATACACATTTTACATGAAAAACAAGCCAATGCTTTAAAAACTAATCCTGGAAATTGGAATTACATATTCTTTTATGATGAATATGTCCATACATTAACTTTGTCCTTGTCCCAGCACCATTCAGCATTTTAATTAGTGACCTGAATGAAATTACTATTTGCAATTTTATAATTTGTGAATGGTGAGCTGTGAGATTCCAGATTTAGGAATCATATACTGAATGACTGGAATGAATTAGGGATGAAGTTAGAAAATTTAATTTAAGAGAGCTGAAGGCAAAGTGTTATATGTGGGCCTAAAAGGAGAACTCAATTCTGAGTACAAAAAAGGAAAAAGAGAGGAGGGTCTTAAATACAAGGCCTTGTAGTTCAGATTCCATTCAATAGGCAGATTTCTGCTGCAATGAGATTTCTGCTGCTTCTTGAGCCTAGGCACAATGTGATAAATATGCTGATGGAGAGAGGGATTGTTAGAGTAGGGTGCAGTGTGAAAAAAGGAAAAATGATCCTGGAAGCTTTTTCAGTGACTAACTTAGGAGTTGATGGGACCAGGCCTGGGATAGTGGCAGTGAGAGTAAAAACCATAAATGTTGAGACATGGATGGAATGTTATCATGATTAGTATCCTCACACCATCACTCATCTTTGCAACCTAGGAATCAGCATCATGCTAGTGCTTAGGGCAAGCAGCAGCCAGGTTGATTTCTAGAACATGTCTGTCCTTTCCCATAATTATTCCTTCCCCTTGCCAAAGGGGAAGTACTTTTCTCATGCCAAAGATACTGTGCTTTTCATATGATGCTTATCTGTGAGCAAAGGACAGAAAATAATTAGGAGTATACAGTCTCTACCATGTGTTTGTCTGATACTTTTAAAAATAACACATTTTAGAGATCCGACCTTGTTTCTGCCATGCTTTTAGCTTCTGTCTCTTTGGTGCTTCTGCATTAGTTTTGTCATTTGTGCACTTGGTTCTTCTGCCTTCTTATAGAAATTTTTAAAGCAAGACAGTTCTATCAACACCACCTCTGTCTCCTGTTAAATGGATATCTAAGATGTTATTTTTCTGGCAGCTTATCTGATGGTGCTGAGATCAGAGGCCCTGTGATTTTCAGCAGTAAGAGGTTTGATTCCAATACGACATACTGTAGGGGCTCCAGCTTCAGCAGATTCTCCCCAGTGGCACAGTGCCAACAAAGCCCTCTTTGTCTGACTCCCTCAGCATCTGTTACCATCAGGAACAGTACACACACACATACATCCTGAAAAGCAGGTTAGGAGAGTTAAACTGATCACTTGGAATCCATGGACAGAGGACATATAAAAAAAAGGAGAAAAGGCAAAAATGGCACAGTAAGAGTATTTTAGCTGACAGTGACATATCAATTCAACAATGACAGGTGATGATGATAAATGGGCTTTTAGTATATTAGTTATACAGGAGGAGATATCCTACTGTGCTGGTGAGACCTAACTAGACTGGAGCATTGTGTCAGTGACAGGTACCATTCTGTACAGGAATATAGATCAATCCTCTTTAACCACTCACTGAAGGAAAGGGGATTATTTTGAAGCATAAAAAAGAAGTTACCAGGAACAGGATAGTTACCTGGAAATACATAAAGAGCTGTCATATATGCATGCATGAGATTTACTGTTTACTCTGTCCCAAGGTTTGGATCCAGGACTGGTGGATACAAACTATAGGAAGTCGATTTCTAAACCAGCCTAGGAAAGATTACCTGACAGAACTGTCTGGGGATGAGGGCACTCTGAATGGGCAGTAGATCCCTGTCATCAGTGGAAGTTTTTGCTTAACATCTGTAATGTAGAGGAATTTGATGCATATACAATGCATAACTATTCCTTTCAACCTAGAGAGTCATTAATTCTATGACATCAAATTTTAAATGATTAAGAACAAAATTGGTAGTAAGAGTAGAGGCAGTTAGAATAATTTTCCAGGAAATGGATTAGAAGAGATATATAGGAGAAGTAAAGGAATTTTGTTTTTGAAGGAAATCTTGATTGAGGAAGAAATCATCCATTGGAGAGAGAGAGAAAAATACAAGAAATGGTTGGGGAATCAGGCTTTGTGAGGGATAGGAGGTGCAATTTTAGAGGAGAAATAAATTTCTGAAACTAATGAGATGCTTGTGAGGATGGCTAAATGTGAATGTTTACTGATTCTCCTGTTCTCCCAACTGGTCATAAAACTTTTCTGCATAAATTAGGAAACCAGGTATTTCACCGAGGGTGTAAGGGTGGGCAGAGGATGACTGACAAAGGAAGGAAATGTAAAGCAGCCCCACTACTTGGCACTCCTCCTGGACCCCAGTCTTGTTGGTAGAACCTTTAGCAGTCAGTCTTTTTGTCTTGCTGTCATCATTCAAGTGTCTGTCCCTCTGAACTTCTCCCTTAAAGAAGATTCAATAATCAAGCCTACTGGCCTGATTATTGTGGTTAAGTGATCTTTCTAAAAAACAAAACATAACCATACTTGTTTTGGGAATTTAACTTGCATGCAAAATAATGTGAAATATTTTAATCAAACCTTGGTTCTGAGACTGTACATTCTGAAGACAACAGCAACGAGACATAAGGAGAACAGATTTGTGAAACTAAAGAGAAATTATTTTATGCACAATTATAGAACTTTTTAAAACAAGAGGTCTGGAATTTTTGCATGCATAATGAATGGCCTGGAGGATTTGTTACAAGAGCTTCCTGGGCCTCAAACCAGAGCCAGATTCAGAAGGTCTGAGGTGGCGCCACAGGTTTGCATTTCTAACATGCTCCAGTGCTGCCACACCATGGCAGCAGCTCTGTGGACTGCACTTCTGGAAGCACCATCCTAAAATACAGTGTGAAGAGTGCAATCCTCAGTGTTATCTAATAGTTCCTAGTTAAAACAGATCATTATAGATTATTTGGTCCCTTTCCAGAGTAAATGAACCTTAATCTATCATTCTCCTAGTACCACTATGATTATCACAGTCAGGTACAACCTATATAATTTCATACTTCAAATTGTCTTTATTTGGATACTGCAAAATGAAACTTTATTAAAAATAGAAAATGTATTAATTGTTACATGTAGAAGGTCATTTTCAAACAAAATACAATTTAAAACAATGAAAAAATTCTTGCAAAGTTCTGAGCCTGAAGTCTATTGTTTTTGTTAACAAGGGGGGCTAAAATGTGACAGCAGTCATGACATTCTCCTTTACTTAATTAGAAGGCTTGAGCAGGAACCAAAAAAAACTTCCTTACCACAGGACCCAAATGTCATTTATCACTCTATGTGCCACCCAATGTGGCCCACTGAACTACCACCTCTGCACCAGGCCTACTTGTTTTCTGGCCAGTTATACTCGGTATACCCTGCCACACTTTCCCTATACATCACTGTTGTTGAACATGGGCTGCAATGAAAACTGGCTGCTGGGATGGCAACAGTTCTACTAGGGATGAGGGCTGCTTGCATATCCACTTGGATCTTCAATATTTCACCATAAGTTGCTACTCATGGATGACTATTCTGTCTCCCCATATTAAATTATGGGGAAAAGTAGCTGATATGCATATATCATATGCATATAGACTGGTTGGAAGGCTGAGTTTTTAGATCTAGGCAGAATGGAAAACAAGGGGCAATGGTCACTTTACCAATCAGATTACCACATCATCAAACCAGCATAAAGGCCTATTAGAAACCATCAAGATTTAAAATAAATAAGATTTTAGAATATGTAAAGAGAAAGGGGAAACTTCTCAAATTAAATTTTTATCCTAACACTTTAAAAAATAATAGTTATAATAACAGATAACCCAATACTTAGTTTCCATTTTCCATATTAATTTCCATATTTCTCAGAGCCATAGTAATGTGGCACTACAGGTTAATGTCAACCTCCAAAATGGAAATTAAAATACATATTTTATAATCTGAATATGTTTAATTGCCTCAATGCCATCCAGTCATTTCTACTCTTACTCATTTTTTCATACTATTGGTGTAGTGCTTATTGAAAGTTTGTACTTTCAAATTTGTCCTGTATCATACTTTTTGCTAACATTGCTAATATTATAAATATTTTCAGAAAAGGGCTATTATTCCTTGTACATTTTTACTTTGACATAACCAAGAAAGAACTCACATTATATCTTAAAGAAAAGAAAAAGCTGCTTTGATATTATGCTGTTAAAAAGAATGCATCAGAGTTCTGTGTGGTACAGAGATGATGTTACTTAGCACAGAAAGCGGGCTACAGGATAAAACTATAACAATAGTATGAGGAAAGGCCCTTTTCCAAATGAGCAGGAAGGGGACAGAAGGAAACACACATCATGCTGTTCACTCTGTGATTGGCTGAGGTCAGAAATGGAGGTAGAAACACATGTGGAAAGATGAACATTTTTCTATATATACTTGGAATTGTTTTACCTCTGAAACAATTTTTAAAAGAATTATTCAAGAAATAACACTTAAAATGTAATCTGGGGAGTTTAATACAAACTCCTTGGGAGAGGATATGAACCTGGATGGCAGGGCTATGCTCTCTCTGATGCATAAAACCAAACTGCATCTCAGATGAGTAATAAATAATCCATAGAGTGAATGTGAAGATGATTTCCATGAGAAATGCTTGATAACTACAGACATCATTAGGTACAAAAAGCATATAATTATTTTTTAAAAAATTTCATTTATTTATTTTTAGAGAGGGAAGGGAGGGAGAGAGAGAGAGAGAAACATCAATGTGTGGTTGCTGGGGGCTGTGGCCTGCAACTCAGGCATGTGCCCTGACTGGGAATCGAACCTGTGATGCTTTGGTTCGCAGCCCGCGCTCAGTCCCCTGAGCTATGCCAGCCAGGAAAAGCATATAATTACTACATTTAAAAATAGCTTCAATTAATCAGAGATGAAAGGTGAACTATGTAGCAAAATGCAAATTTTCTACTACATTAATTAAAAAAATACTGTACTGTCATGTAGGAAACTAGTATTTATCTGAAGGAGAAACTTCATTAAAGCTACCAATACTCACATGGATTTCATAACAACAGTCTGATCAGGGCAACATAAATAAATATAAAATACCTTTTAATAAACTGAATTTTCTTCTTGAAAAAGAGTCACCTATAAGCTTTTGTTTTGAAATATATTTAAAGATGGTGACTGAGAAGCTGGCAGTATTTCCGGGTATGGCTGAAGACCCATCTGCTTGTTGTCCTTCAGCTTTTGTACTATAACTTTGGCAAATTCCTCTCCTTGGATGTCAGTGATGTCCAGTAACTGTCTGACTTTTGCAGTCCTTGTGGGTTTGGTGCTGATAAGTTCATAGTCCTCCTTCATGATCAGGTCCCTCGACAGAAGGGCATCCAGTGACTGGTTAAGGCAGGCTTCAGTCATCTGGCTCACAACATCCTCCCTTTTATTCTGGATCCACTGCTGGGCCACTCCAGGCTGTGACCATTCTTTATAGAGCAGGGGTAACAATTAAAAGGTAAGGACAGATATGTAGTGAGGAGTAAAATGAGATGAAAAAAGAAATGATAAGGCATAAAACCTAATTTACTATGATTGTGCTAATATAGAAAACTAGTATTTTGGGGGGATGCTGTTAAGTTTTAGGAAGCATTAAGATATTTGAGTTATCTCTTCCCATCCTGTCCCAGAAAAAAAGCACTGCCTTTTTATATGCTGTAAATCACAGGGGCAACACCATTTTTCAGGTTTTTAAAAAAATATATAAAAGATACCAGCATATTTGTTAAATAAATGGAAATAACTTTGCTTTTAGTAAGGTATCAGGTCACATCTCCTCTTAGCATCCCTCCCTAGAGTGATGCTCATGGTATACCATTGAGCCTTTGGTTACATATCAGCCTTCTTGCGTTCTGGGATTGGAAGCACTTTGCAACTTAAGAATGTATATGTTTATCATATTAAGGAAATCAAGACAAAACACTGTATGGTGTTGGGAACCACCATGACTGGTATCAGGAGCTGAAACCCCCGCCTAGCTAAGGCTAAGGGAACGCCCTTGGAACCGTAAGCCAGCAAGGAGACAAAAGCTTATCTTCCTGGCAGGAATGCTGCTTCTGCTGCTTTATTCATAACTGAACCCCAAAAAGCTTGGTCGGTTAGCCGAAGACGGGTAAGATTCCCCACGGGGGGAACGACCTAAGACAGGCACGATCACTTTGGGAGGCCCCCCCAAAAGAAGGACTTGGGGGGCTGCAGCAAAAGGGGGTGATGGACCCTGGCTCCTCGGCTTTGCCATAGCCTGAGTTCTCAGCGTCTGGGAAAAAACCTCCTTGTCTCCCAGTTGCCTTGTCTCCCAGTTGCCTTAGTTCCCTTGCTCCACCTAAGCCTGAAACAATGACAGGGTGGTGCAGCTCGGTACTGAGAAGTGCGGATTCCCGGGGGCGATCAGGCCTAAGAAAGAATATGTAAATTACTGTGAAACCTTCTTTGTTTAGAATGCTCTCAGTTGAATGAGAGGGGTCTTAGGAGGAAGTTATTTTGTTCCTCAGTCTTACAGCTCTTTGACCCCCAACTCAATAGACCCGGCAGAGTTCTTTGTTTTCTATATTCCTTACTTCCCCCTAATGAGTACTGTACTTTACCTGAATTATTATGCAGAATGAGCCCAATAAAAGCAGGTAGGGACTGTAAATTGGCGCGCTCCCCACTAGGGGGGTGGCCATTTCGTCCCTACTTCCCCACAGAAACTAGTTTGTCTCTGTGCATGTGTTTTCTCTCGCGTGTTTTTCGTCGAGCCATCCGCAGCGTTCCGTGGTCACTGCTGGCCGATGACCCACGCGCAACAGTATGGCAGATCTACTGAGCATGTAGTTGTAAGGTGAATGGTATCACAAGCGCCTCATAGTAGATATTTACCTGAATTTCCCTTGGCTGAGGGTGGATTTATTGCTAAAGAGCACAGGGCAGTCTTGTGGTCACAGAATGTGGCCCTTTGGGCTACACACATGTTGTCGCAGCTGTGATTTACTGGGAGGTGAAGCGGGGTAGAGAAGTCCTGGGTTTTTCCTGAAAAACAACATCTTCATTGGGGTAGAATATTCCTTAGCTATTCCTGTTAGATCAAGTATCAACATTTGGTCATACAGACGAGGGTACTCGCCTTACAAATATTACAGGGTACTCGTAACTCGTATTACGAGGGTACTCGTAATTACAAATATCTGTAATTTTTCATTGCTGTTAAAGTTGGCTCATAAACCTAATTCTACAAGTACATATTTTTTAGAACATATAAAAAGGTTTATACTGAATGTTTCTACCATACTTCTGTTTGTGCTTGTTGCTCCTATGTAAATTAAAAATCATGGAAATTCATTTCTTTACACCATCTCCTCTTTCTTCTTCCATGTCATCTTCCTCCTCCTGCAGTTTAAATGTGTCCTCTAATTCTGTGCATAACGTATGTCTCTACACTCTCCTTTGGTAATCCAATTCAGCCTCCGGGCCTCAGCTGTCACCTCTCTTCCCAAGTCTATGTAATTAAATTTTCTGACTTCACAGAACCTCAGTCTCAGATTTTTAAGTAGCCCACTGGACATCACCCTCATATACATTGCTGAGTACCTCAGATTAAAAAAACATAAAAAACTTAATTATCCATCTTAACTTTAAAATCTATTTCAGTTGTTAACACCAGTATTCTCCCAGTCACAGCTTTTATTTCTCTCTGTTCCCTCCTACAAGTGACAAGTTATCAAGTCCTATCAGAGTGTCCATACACCTGGCACACCTTTCTCTCTTCCTGTACTCTGATCAGGCAACCTAGTCTCAGCTGTGCTGCAGCAATAGACCAAGAGTCTACTCACTGATCTCTGCACCTTGTCTCCTTTTCCTTCCAAAATATCCTACAGACTCTGGCCAGGATGAATCTTCCTAAAACAAAAGATTTCATCATGTCATACCCTTGTTCAAAAATTTGCACTCGTTGCTCCCTACCCAAGGGAAAGCCCAGACAGTGCAGCCTGGTGTTGGATGCCACCCTATTGACCTTTGCTCCTCTCCTTCATTCCCTCTTCAGATAATCCCGACTACTCACTGTTCTGTTTTCTTGCTGCTGAGCCTCTATGCTGTTCCTGTGCCTGGAATGCCCATCCTTTAAAACTATAGGTCCAATCTTCAGTCAGAAATAGCTCTTCATGATGACCACATGGTATAGCAGAGTGACATGAAAACATTTATCAAAGACCTGGCTTCGAGTCTTGGATTTGTCAGCTACTAACCATGTGATCCAGAAGTCTTGATCTTAAAAATCTGTAAAATGAGGAAAGTCTCCCTCACAAGGTTGTTGTGAAAGTACTTATTAAAATGCTACTCTCCCACTGAAACACCAGTTTTGTGTCCACCTCCCTGTTACCTCACTTTCTATCTCACACTGTCGATACTTAGACATTGCTCCTTTTTCTTGCAAGAGATTTTTAAATTTTTTCTATAATGTCTAACATCATGTCTTTGATACTTAAGTGTATCTGTTGAACATCCCTAGAACATCTTTATTCTCTGTCCCTTTGTAAAAATGAGATAATGCAAATGAAAGACATGTGTCATACAAACCATGATGGTTTGCCAAGAATATCATCTTGAAAAAAAAGGAAAGTTATAAATCATACTGACTAAAAAAATTACATACTATATAAAAAATCATTGTCTTGAGGAGCTGACAGGGACCTTGAGGTTCCGGGGGAAGCACTATGTTTATGAAGCTGAGAGGATCCACATGATTCCTAAAGTAAACAGGGGATAAACAATTTAGGTTAATGAAAAGCCATTTGAAAAGTTATACAGCTTTAATTTCTAAATAGTTCTTGTGTTTGGTTTATTATAAACAAAGAATTAAAATCATTACAGATTCACCTTATAAAAGTAAAGACAAAAGTAAAAGTAAAGACAAATAAACAAGAAACTTGATTTTATCAACTCACATGGGGGTACAATAACTAAACGCATTATAAATCATTAGTTTTTCAGTATTTGCTATTTGATCTCAGAGGCTTTGTATAGTTGATGGGAAATCTGAAAGCTGTAACTCTGGTTATCTGCTGATTCAGAGCAAATGCCCACTCTTAATGTGTCTGATTCCTTCCACATGAAGGGGTACATGGAGAAGTGGGGGAGAGCTCCACCTACTTCTAGCTCCATCATGGAGTTATGAACTCACCTTCTACAAGGTTCAGCCCTCTGGCTCTCTGGTTCTTTTTCTGTGATCTCTGTACTATCTAAAAATGTGCATGTGTGGGCTCAGAGATCCAATGAGATACTGTATGTAAAGGTGATTCAGAGACCATGTAGAGTGCTTTATGGTTCATTTTGAAGCTATTTTCTGAATCTGTAAAGTGAACGAACACACATATTCTTAAATGAAATGACCAATATGAGGCAAGCCTGCATGAATGTGCCTGAAGAAATATTTCTCTGTGGATAGATATGCAAATAGCACTTTTCTTTTATTAATCACCGTAACAGGAAAGGGCAGGCAGGCATAACTCTAGAGGCAGAACTGTAGTCAGTGGAGCACTATAGTCAGTGCCAAACGAGGCAGAACTGTGCTCTGTGGGGGCAACTCAAAGAAGCGCTGCAGTTCCAGTGGGGACTTCCCAGACTACCTGACAGACCCTATAACCTCCCAGGCTAGCTTCCTGAATACAAAAGAAGGAGTTAGAGTAAATGACTTTGCATATTCTTCTCGCAGTTTGAGTTTATAAACAATTTTTTTTACCTCTTGTGGACTATGATTTAGAGATATGTTCAGAGATGATTCTGATTTCTTCTTGTCACATAAGTGAACAGTACTTGAAGCACTCTGCAACTGGAATATATATATATATATATATATATATATATATATATATATATATGTATTTTAATTGGAGATGATTAAGAAATTATATGAGTAAAACAGTCAAACAAAGCAACTCACACTAAATGGTGATCTTTGTTTTCAGAAATTTCTTTATGAAAAATCTTATTAAATTTGTATTCTACTTTTGGCTCTGCTGTTTGCTAGCTGTGTGTGGTGTTATGTCACTCACTTTCATGTACCTCATTATCTCACCTATACAATGGAGATAATATTCTTGCCCTACCAGTTTTATAGAACTGATATAAGGATTTTTTAAAATTAAAAAATAACTACAACCACTCTAAGTGAAAACAACACAGCAAGTTAAAAATAATGATGAAAGTAATGCTATTATTAAATGATATTTAGGTATTTGAGAATATATATTTAATACTTTAATTACTTTATTTAAAAACTCAGCATTTCTTTTTTTTTAAGTTTTTATTTATTTATTTCTAGAGAGAGGGGAAGGGAAGAATAGAGAAGGAGAGAAACATCAATTTTGTGTGGTTGCCTTTTGCATGCCCCCTACTGGGGACCTGGCCCGCAGTCCAGGGATGTGCCCTGACTGGGAATTGAACCCACAACCCTTTGGTTCACAGTCCAGCACTTAATCCACTGAGCCAACCAGCCAGGGGTAAAAAGTAAAAATTTCTTTTAAAATTAACAGTTTTAAATATAGATCCTAATGTGAAAGTTGTTTGGGGACAAAAAGGAACTGGAATGGTTCTCTTCTATTTTAAAACCAAGAGAACAGACCCTTCTATTAGCCTCTGCTTAGAAGAGAAAGTTATGAAAAAAGAAAAGGGAACTGAAAAGTAAAGCAAAAAGAAATGTTATTGGAAGTTTTTATCTACTAAGTAGAAAAATTGGGATGTTCTGGAAAAGACTGTACCTACTCAGAAGTAGGAAGTCAGTGGAAATTTATCAAAATAATTAACATAGTTCACCTTTAGTTCCTTAAAAATCTCAGGCACTAACTAGTACTATCATTGTCAATTTTTAGTTCAGTTAAGGGTAGCTGTCTCCTTTATGTGTGTCCCTTCCAAATCAAAAGCTATATCAATCCACCTGGCAACTTGCAAGAGGCCAACAGCAATGTCAGTTAGTGATAAGTAAATAATTCAAGAGTTTGGATCATAACTAATGATTTTTATTGTCACATTTCAAATGCAATATAATGAAACTCAGTAAGTGCTAAACTATGCTCCATCCCTAAAGGACTATAGTTGCTTTTTAAACATCTTTTGATAATGTTAATAAAACCCTGCAGTATTAGGTCTGTTCAGTTCCTCTGATTGGCAAGAGCCAGCATAAGTGAGTAAGGCACCTGTTTTAGATCCATATCGACTGCTACTTTGTTCTATGCAACATCAAGTAAGGACAACTAAAAAAAACAATTTAAAAATACACATTTTGGCCTCAATTTTTAGTAAAAATCCCACAGCATAACTTAAATCTCAGAAAAGCCTGAGAATACTGGACAAAGAAAAGTGCAAGAACCCAGACATCTATTACTTTGAATGTACTAAAACTTTAGGGAAATAAATGTAGATTTAAAAAAATCTCTAGTTGATTTAGGGAATTCATTGTAAACACTGGCACTTATTACATATTGCATTTAAATTTAATATATAGGAGTTCAGAAATATCTTTGAAATTTGGAGGTGGACAATTTGAATGAAATGGAGGAACTTTTAGGTGACAGAAGAATAATATTTATAGTCTCTAGTAAACTCTCCCACCCTATAGGGAACCTATTCATGTGGCATAGCAAATTTAGCCCAGCCCCTGATTTGGAAAACCAGCGGGAGTGAGTGGGCACACAGAAGCCAATCCCATGGATTGGTTTACCCGTGGGGAATCAGGCCTGCATTGTACCTAGGCTGCTATGAGGCTTGCTTTTTTGCTAAAACTCCCTCATCCTGAATTGAGGGAGCACATGTTTATTGCATATCTTTAAAGTAACTTCCCAAAATCTGTGCTAAACCCCCCAAGGATGGAGTGTAACCAGTTCAACCACTTTTTCCTTTGCATTTGCAAATATTCTTTTTCTCTGAAGTAATTAGCAACTTCCTCTCCTTTGTTATTTGTAAAAGGTAAACACCTAAGTGAACCTGTGCATAGTAAATGAGCACCATCCTTGATGTAATGTGCCCAGAAAAGCAATAAAAGTCTGTTCAGGCAGGCGTCGGGGCTCTCTCTCACTCAGAGAGTGGCCATGCCATCCCTTTTTCTCCATAGGACTTCTGTAGTCTGTGTGAATTTGTTTGTTGCAGCCACAACACACGGACCCCACTGGCCGGGTCTGCATCACCACCCCAATACTGTAGCCCATACCTGTGAAAAGTATACAGGTAAGAACTTTAAACTAAACTAAAAATTTTCATGACTAATATGTAATTGTTTAAAGTCTGAATTCCAGCACTTCATTTAGCAATGGATTTACCTTTGTTTTCTTTAGTTGCATAACAGCTTCAAGAAAACTTATCTCTTCAAATGTTCTGAGAACTGGTTCAAGTTCTATTAAACATTCTAAATAAGAAAAATAACATTAGAGTTCAGATTGCATATAAGCATTAAGTTGAATAGTATAAATACTAATATTTAATTGATAAGACCTTAAGTCAGTTTTTCCCCAAACTGATGACAATCAACTGTCTTAACAGCCTTTGTTATGGGCCTAGAGACATCATATCTACATCGTACAGAAAAATAAACTCAAAGTGGATTAAAGACTTAAATATGAGACCTGAAATCACCAAACTCCTAGAAGAAAACAGGCAATAAACTCTTTGGTATCAGTCTTAGTGATATTTTCTTAGTATGTCTCCTCAAACAAGGACAACAAAAGCAGAACTAAACAGGTGGGAAAACAACAAAGTAAAAAGCTTCTGCACAGCAAAGAAAACCATCAGCAAAACAAAAAGGCAACCTATTGAATGTGGAAAGTTATTTGTAAATGATACATCCAATCAGGGGTTAATATCCAAAAAATATGAGGAACTCATACCACAAACAATCCAATTGAAAAAATGGTCAGAATGGCTGAATAGACACTTCTCCAAAGAGTATATACAGATGGCCAATAGACATATGAAAAGATGCTAGATGTCACTAATAATAAGATGCAAATTAAAACTACAATGAGGTATCACCTCACACTGCGAGAATGGCTACCATCAATAAATCAACAAACAACAAGTGCTGGGAAGGGTGTGGAGAAAAGGGAACCTGGTGTAATGTTGGTGGGAATGCAGATTGGTATAGCCACTGTGGAAAACAGTATGAAGTTTCCACAAAAAGTTAAAAATAGAACTGCATTATGGCCTAGCAATTCCACTTCTAAAACTGTATTTAAAGAAAAAAACACCAATTTGAAAAGATATGTGCACACCTATAGTCACAGCAGCATTATTTACAATGGCTAAGATATGGAAGCAACCTAAGTGTCCATCAGTAGATGAATGGATAAAGATGTGGTACATATACAATGGAATATTACTCAACCACATAAAGAATGAAATCCTGCCATTACAGATAACATGGATGGATACAGAGTATATTATATTAAGTGAAATAAGTAAGACAGAGAAAAGACAAATACCATGTGACTTAATTTATATGTGGAATCTAAAAACAAAACAAAATACAACATTTCCGGCCAAGATGGACATTTAAGTAGATAGACTGTGCTTCCTCGTACAACCAAAAGGACAAGAACAAATTTTAAAACAAAAAACCAACCAGAACTGCCAGAAAATTGAACTGTATGGAAGTTCAACAACCAAGGACCGAAAGCTTCAAAATCTCTGACTCAAAAAACCTGAGGGTTGAGGGGGTGGAAGAAACATCCAGCTTCACAGGAGAGTTTGTTGGAGAGAACCACAGGGTCCTAGAACATACACAAAATCACCCTCCCAGGACTCAGCACCAGAAGGTCCCGATTTGCTTGTAGGTAGCAGCAGGAGTGACTGAAAGCCCTGGCTGAGAGCAGAGCAAGCAGCATTGTTTCCTCTTGGATGCCTCCCACACATACAGCATCACAAAGCAGCAATGTGGGTTGCCCTGCCCTGGTAAACACCTAACACTCCATCCCTTACTACATAACAGGTGCACTGAGACAAAAAAATATGGCCCAAATGAAAGAACAGATCAAAGCTCCAAAAAAATACAAATAAGTGACAAAGAGATAGCCAACCTACCAGATACAGAGTTTAGAACACTGGTAATCAGGATATTCACAGAATTGGTTGAGTATGGTTGAAAACTAGTGGAAAAAGTGAAGGCTATGAAAAGTGAAATAAAGGAAAATGTACAGGGACCCAACAGAGACAGGAAGGGAAACTGGGACTCAAATCAATGGTTTGGACCAGAAAGAAGAAATAGACATGCAAGCAGAACAAAATGAAGAAACAAGAATTAAAAAAATAAAAATGAGGAGAGGCTTAGGAACCTCCGGGACAACTTTAAATGTTCCAACATCCAAATCATAGGGGTGCCAGAAGGAGAAAAGGAAGAGCAAGAAATTGAAAACTTATTTGAAAACATAATGAAGGAGAACTGCCCTAATCTGGCAAAGGAAATAGACTTCCAGGAAGTCCAGGAAGCTAGAGAGTCCCAAAGAAGTTGGACCCAAGGAAGCACACACCAAGGCATATCATAATTACATTACCCAAGATTAAACATAAGGAAAGAATCTTAAAAGCAACAAGAGAAAAGGAGACAGTTACCTATAAGGAGTTCCCAGAAGACTACCAGCTGATTTCTCAAAAGAGACCTTATAGGCAAGAAGGGGCTGGAAAGAAGCATTCAAAGTCATGAAAACCAAGGACCTATATCCAGTATTATTCTATCCAGAAAAGCTATCATTTAGAATGATAGGGCAGATAAAGTGATTCCCAGGTAAGTTCAAGTTAAAAGAGTTCATCATTGCCAAGCCCTTGTTATATGAAATGTTAAAGGGACTTATCTAAGAAAAAGAAAATAAAAAATATAAACAGTAAAATGACAAAAAAGTCAGAAATATTAATAACTGAACCTAAAAAAATGAACTAAGCAAACTAAAACTGAAGTAGAACCATACAAATGGAGATCACATGGAGGTTTATCAGCAAGGGAGTGGGAGGGGGGAAAAGGTACAGGGAATAAGCAGTATAAATGATAGATAGAAAATAGAGGGAGTTTAAGAATAGTCTAGGAGATGTAGCAGCCAAAGAACTTATATGTATGACCCATGGACATGAACTAAAGGGGGTGGATGTGGGTGGGAAGTGGTATGCAGGGTAGAGGGGAATAAAGGGGGAAAATGGGACAACTACAATAGCATAATCAAGTAAATATATTTTCAAAAAATAAAAACTGAAAACAGAAACAGACCCATAGACATGGAGGACAAACTGATGCTTATGAAAGGGGAAGGGAGTAGGGGGATGTAAAAAGAAGATAGACATATGGATCAATGGAATAGAAACAGAATAGAGAGTTTAAAATTAAACCCTTACATTTATGGTCAACTGCTTTTTAGGACAAAATTACAAAGGCAATTTAATGGGGAAAAGTAGAGTCATTTCAACAAATGGTGCTAGGACAGTTGGATAGACACAGGGGAACAGATAAATTTAGAATCTTACCCTCATACCATATGTAGAATTAACTTGAAATGGATCATGCAGGTAAATGTTAACATAGGAGAAAATCTTCATGATCTTGTTAGGCAAATAATTCTTATATATGACATAAAAATACAGGATCCATAAAAAACCTGATCATTGAACTTTAAAATATTGAAAACTTTTATACTTCAAAAGACACTATTAAGAAAAATGAGACTTCTGGCCAAGATGGAGGTATAGGTAGATACACTGTGCCTCCTTACACAACCAAAAGAAGGACAACAACAATTTAAAAATAAAAAACAACCAGAACTGAGAGAAAATCAAACTGTATGGAAGTCTGACAACCAAAGAGTTAAAGAAGACACAGTCATCCAAGTAGGAGGGGCGGAGATGGGCAGCTGGGTGGAGAGGACTCACGGCAAGAAGGTGGCTGGTGCCCTCTGCCCCACCTCTGGAGTCCCTCACCACACCTTAAGAACAGCTGGTATGTCAGAATGGAACAGCATATATATTTAAGAAGCAGTGTTTAGGGCCCAATTTGGGCCATTGATTTAAAGAGAAACCAGGAAGTTCCACTGTGGTCAAGATGGAGTAATAGGGGCAAATTTACTCCCTTGCCTGAAGAAATCCAAAAAGCCAGAGAAATATACAAAACAGTGAGTGGTTTTTAAGACAGTGGCCATCAGGCAACAAAGGACAGTGATCTGAGAAATGAGAAACATGCAGTGAGCCTTAGGATTGCCAGGCTTCCTGCCTTGAGAGAAGGATGTGCATGAGGTATAGCCTGGGGACATTGAGTTCAGGATACTGTCAACCAAGGCAGACTGTGTCAACAGGACAAAGTATAGGACAAAGTATAGGAGAGGAGAAGTACTCTGGAGTTGTAGAGTGTAGAGGATTCTCAAGTATTCAGAGTCCTGACTAATGCAGGTGGAGAAGTCAGGAGACCAGATGCTCCAGTCTTCAGGCAATAGCAGGGAAAACCCAGGAGTTGTGCAGAGGAAGTAGTATTGCCTAATGCATGATCAGCAGAAGAGCTAGAACTTTAAGGAAATGGAGAAGAAACTATTTGGAAGTGGCACTGGGGACAAAGGAGGTAGTAACCTCCCACACAGTTCTGGGAAATAAGAGATAAAATGTGAACCCATTATTTTAGCAAATTTTGATTTTTTTAATATAACACTGATGAGTCCTGAATATAAGTTTTGAGTGGAAAATATATTTCATTTTTTAGTTGGAATGAATATTCCCAGTCTGTGGCTTATCTTTTCATTTTTAATACATCTTTGAAATGCAAACAATTTCAGTTTCTGTGAAGTCCAAATATCAATTCTTTTATGGATTTTGTATTGGATGTCATATCCTAGAACTCTTCTAATCCAAGGTCATGAAATTTTCCCCTATGTCTTCATTTAGGTGATGATCTATTCTTCCCCCTGAAGTAAATCTTAATTTTGTCTAATTTTTCTGCCTCCAGGATTACCATGCCAATTAGGAAAGTCTCCTGGCTAGTCTCTGTCTCCATTCCACACAGCAGCAAGAGTGACTTCTAAACTCACATTAGATCAGCTCATTTTCTATGAGACATGCTTCCATGGTGTCCCACTGTACTGGGAACAAATATCTAGCCTTTTCATGATAGTAGCAGCCTCTCCTTCCCTCTGCGCATCATTCCCTTTCCAGCTCATTGTATTCCAGCCACTCAGGCCTCTTTTGTTCTTCTCAAATACAAACTTTCCTCTTCCAGCTGAATGCTTGTCCTGGCTGTTTTCTCTGTCTGAAATACCTGCCTTTAGCTGTAGAAGGCTGCCTCCTTTCAAGCTGTGAATTTCACTTTAAACATTTGTTCCTAAGTAAAAGGGTTTCCTTCCCCTTCCATTGTTACCTTGCTTATTTCCTTATAGGACTCCTGTAATTTACAGCTTGTTTATTTATTTGTTTTTTTCTCTGCTTTCTCAACTAGGATGTGAGATACAGGAATTTAGCAACTTAGACTGTCTTGGTCACTACTCTGCTCCCAGTGCTCACCTCATAGGCATGGCACAAGGGAAGTGTTCGGTAAATATCTGTTGCATACGAGAATGGAATTATTACCCCTATTAGATTTCTTTTCTATTAGGAATCTCAGTTCTGCTCTAGAAGCGGTTACCTTTTTATTAATACTATGAATAACAAGAGTAAAGAGAATAAAAACAACTTTGAGCTTGTCATCTAATTTGTGTTTCAAGGAATATTTTATTCAGAGTATATTCACTATTTTCTAATTCAGAAGGTCCAGAGGAAAGTATTTACTCACTTAGGAAGGATGGCCTTTCATCTGGGTTTTGTGCCCATCCACTTTCTATAAGCGAAATCATCAGTGTTCGATGAGGTATATCAAATGGCAGACTTTCTTCACTAGTGTCGGGTCGATGTCCTTGTGACACACTATACATAATCTGCAAAGGATTGGTGACTTCTGTCAACAAATAAACGTCATTCATTAGAAATATTTTATGATCCAATTATGCTAAATGTACTCCACACCCAACCAAGTGAAAATAAGGAAATCTTGAAATCTTGGGACTAATTCACTGCCCCTGTTGTGTAAAGGAAATATGTATACCCAGCCATCACAAGGCTTGTCTGCCTCCACGGGCGGAGTTTACATCATCACCTCATTGGCATTGGGCTCCACCATGTGATTGGATTTGGGCAAGCTGAGCTGAACTTACTAGACCCAGGAAGGGCCACAGCAACTAATATCCAATGTAATTGAGAAATAAATGTTTATTTTGTAAGCTACTGAGATTCTGAGATGTCTGCTACACAGCAAGCTGACTTATACAAACCTCAAAAGAAAGAAGTATTTTCAGAAAATTTAAACATTCTTTAATGTTTGCTGGTCTTTGTACTGGGACCACTAATTAAATTTTCATATGAAGAGTTTGATAGTTGGAATGCATCTTAGAAATAGGAATTCAAAATTCTCATTTCACAGAGAAAAATGAAGACAAGAAAGTAGCTTGATGACAGAACTAATTACTGTCAAAATAAGAATTAGCATCTAATTTTTCTGATTTGAATCTAGTACATTTTTTGGTGCACAGTGGATTCATGGTAAGTTATGTTTTATAGTGTGTTTTCTACAAAATGAATGGTAGGCAGATTTAAAATAAAATGAGCTTTAGAGAATTCTACATGTGGCCCACCAACATGATGTTTCCCAGAACACTTACCCTCAAAAGGCTGTTTTCTGGATAAGACTTCCCATGTGATAACTGCATAGCTGTTTTAAGATAAAAATATAGAGGCAGTATATTATAAACTAGCTATGCATAATAAACTATAATACTAAATTTAAAAGCTGACTGTGGAGATATCCTTTTCTGAAAGTGACAAAGTAGTGAATTGTATTAAGAATTAAGTGTTTAGAACCAAGATGATGAATATTCAGTTTGTTTTAAAAGGGAATTAATCTTAAATTGAAAAATTTGGCAATTACTGTAATAAAAATGAAGTTATATGCCAAAATAACTTGTGGATAATTCAGTAATCATTCTTAAACACCTACATAAGCTATGCCCTCTAATTATATGATTTCATTATTCACACACAAGAGAGAGCAGTAAGAAAACTGTCCTATGTAGCCCTATTTATTGACTTTGTTCTGGTCTAAGTACTGTCTTCTTCAGTAGTGATAACCAGACTGTCCCTATCTGTGCCCCTCTCCCCACCCCACTGCCCACATCAAAGTCACATATGAATAAACCCTAAAGTATTATATTATAAATTGACAGGACAAAAAGATGCGTTTTAAAATGTTTTTAAGGACATAAAAGTGGCTTAAAGCAAAGCATGTTTAATTTCAGAAATAACCAGCCACTGTGGGCTTGATTTTACTTTCCCCATACTTAGGAGAGAAGAAGAAAAATCACACTTTAAAATGTACTTTCAAAATTCTGATGGATTAATCTTGTTTTTAGACAAGTTAACTCTGAGCATAACTAATGCACTATACCTGTATATGTCATGCTTGACACTGGCCCTTGATTTTTGTCCAGGCTCATAGTTTTCAGGTGGCATATAGATAATGGTCCCTCCTTCTGGTGCAGATTTGCTATTTCGTGATTGTGACAAGGACATCATACGCCATTTTGACAAACCAAAGTCTGCAATCTGTGAGGGAAAAGAGTGATTGAATTTAAAGATTTTCTCTTCAAACAAATCCAAGAATCAATTGCCTTTCTTCACATGTATTCAATATGAGACCAGAGGAAATATTATAGATGTTAGTATTTTATTTCTACATATTCCATGAGTTTCTTGGATTACATAATACTGAGCCCAATAACTCTAGAAGCAATACATACTGGCTTGAAGTTTAGCAAACTATTACAAATTTCAAAAGGGAGACTTTTGAAAAAGGAAAGAGGATTATTTTTTCCTTATAATCTAGATGAGTGTATACACTAAACACTTTACTGTTTGTGACAAATAGCTTCATAGCATGTGATTTTCAAATTCACCTATAACTCACAGAACTGCTAAACTACTCATATGTCATTTGATTGTCACTGGCATTTTTATAACTCATTTATATAAGCTGTAAACAGGCTTACATGCTGTTACATATATATATTTAACACAACAGGTTTATATGCTGTTATTTATAATGTTCTAAAAATAGCATCCTTAAATTCTGAAGTAAGCACGATGCAAATATCATATAGTTCATTATTATATTATTTATGACTACTCTTAAAAGTATCATCTGTTGGCAACAGTAGTTAGCATGTAAAGCATATTTATGTCCATGACAATGACTACCTAAAGAATTATCAGTGACAAACACTCCATGCTTTTTATATGTCCTTTATAGTTTTATATTGCTTGTAAATCTTGTCTATATGTTATACAATATCTTATAATTAAATATTTAAAAGGTACCTTATTTTTCTAAATGGAAGAAAAAATATAAGAACAGAAACAATATTCAGTGGACAGAAGAGTATGGGAAAACATTGAAGGTACTTAATTTAAATTACTTACATCTCTACATTGCAGAATTTCAGAGTCAACATAGTGGATTGAGTGCCATCCAGGACACTGGCTTGTGTTTCAGCTATTTAATGCTTATATTTTTACTAGTTTTAAGAGAATAAATTGTTTGTTTAGTGTGTAGATGAATATGAGATAAAAATATGGACCCACTCTAAAAAGGGAAGGGGTAGATTGTATGAATCTTTCATAAGTTATTATAACAAAAGGGTTAGTCTAAGGAAGAATATTAGAAAAGGTGGAGAGAAAACATGGTGCCAAGCTGGATAGAATTAAAAGGCACATGCTGAGAACATGGGTTCTGGAGCTGAGACTGTTTAGATTTATAGTCTGTTCTAATTGTACCACTAATTAGGTGTGTGACCCTGAGAAAGTTTTAAAGTTTCTCTATTGTTGGGAGCCATATTGCCTGGTTTCAGGGACTGTAGCCTCATTAATGGACAATAAGGGTCCCACAGCTAGTGCTGAGTGAAAAGACCTTTAACATGAGCCACTAAGGAGACAGAACATTTCCTCCTGGCAGGAGCACAGCCCCTGCCTTCCTCACTTCTGCCTGCTTGGCTCTGGGCAGATGCCTGGTTAGTCAATGATGGGTAAGAGCCCTCAAGGGAGGGGTGACCTAAGACAGGCACAGTTGTGACAGGCCATCAGGGAAGGACTTAGGGGTCTTCAGAGAAGGGACATAAAGACCCTCATCCCTTGGCTTTGTCATAGCCTGAGTCCTCAGTCTTTCTGTAAAAGTCTCCTAGTCTCTTGGCTGCTTGGCTCTCCCCACCTGACTCAGCCTGGGAAGTATGCCAGAGGCAGCTTCAACCTTGTATTGGAACTTATATTGGAACAGATGGCTCCTGCTGGCAAATCTGGCCAGAGAAATACTATACATTGTTTCCGTTGAGGTTTGCTTTGCCCTGTTGCTATGAAACAGACACTTGAGCTAAAGCCAACCCTGACCACAGACAATCCCTGTGTTTCTTCAACTATTATCTGTCAAAGATGTCAGTTTTTCATGACTGCAGCTTTTTGGACACTGGTTGATGAGCTTCATGTGCATACTATGTATCTCTGTGTGAGCTGAACTCAATAAATATACAGGAAAGAAGGTGTTCCGGACCTTTCTCCTTTGAGGGACTGGTCACCTTTCCTCCCCAAGCAGATTACCTGTTGGGCATTTTTATTCTCATACCCGATGACTCAGGGGACCTCTGCTGGTGGAGCACCCCATTACTCTGTGCCTCAGATTACCTATCTGCAAACAGAGTAGTAACAGTCTCCATAGTGTAGGGTTGTACTGTGAAAATTAAATGAGCTGAATTAGTATTGCTAATGTTTTGGTTACAGGAATACGTGTCTCCCTAAAGGTTGCTCTTATTCATACAATACTGTCAAGCACAGAACCAGGTTTTAGGCTCTAAGTCTCTCTGAGTGGTATTAAGGTTCCAAGGAGCATATATCCCACTTAATTCCATTTGGCTTTGCAGAGTCTACTCTTCCCTCACCCTCTGAAGGCAAAACCAGTATTCCAGGAATACACCTGCCAGGACTGTAAACATTACCATGGCAACTGATTTTATTTTTGTGCCAGAGTGAAAAACTTAAAAAAATAATAGGGATGTGGTCTCATTTATACTCAATCCCTCATTTACAAACTACTGGGATCAGTATTGATTTGGGTACAATGTTGGAGAAAACAGCCTGAGTTTGCTTCCTATGTGCTCCTTTTACTTCAGATAAGAGCCTCACTTTTGAGTTTTCCAACTCGGCCTAGAACCCTTAGTCAGGATTCCCTCTTATCAGCTAATTTAGTTTGTCTTCCACATGGAGCCACACATCTCCCCTTCCTCTGTCCCAAACAGTGTCATACATGAAATACATAGTTCATTACACCTGGGTTTTCAACAGAAGGAAGATAGGACGAATGTGATGAAAATAATAAGAACTCCACAATTTCTTGAGGGTCTTGATAAATCAATCATTCACCAATGCAGACAGAATAGGAACTTTCCCTTTTTATACAAGACCTTTAAATATATTTCAAAGCTAAAGGTTGTCTTTTTAATTAAAAAGATGATAAAAATGAGAGGAAATTAAAATACTCTATTCAAAAAATTATCCATAATCCTACCACTCCATTAGAATAGCTGCATACTTTCATTTATATATACTATTCATCCTGAAAGTATAAACAAGCTAGGAAGAACCACTTGTAAGTATTCTGGTTTCCACACAGGACTGACATAATAGCAGAGAAATATACTTTCTTTTAAATTCTATTCATATCAAATAAAGACCAAGGGTACCCTACTGATTAATGAAGAAGAGAAAGGATGATTGCCCATTACTTTGCTTCTGTTTTCTCTGGACTAAGACTCAGAAAGTAAAGCCCAAGGAGGTTGAAAGGTTTATAAAGTGCAAGTCTTAGGTTATTTTATATATGTTTCAGGTTACCGAACACTTGCAAATACCTCCTGGGTCCTCTCAGTGTTCTTTGTGGGATAGCAGATGAGAAAAGTAAATGTCATTCTGATTTTTAAAAGTGAAAAATATTATTGATTTCACAAATCTACATACTAACAAGAGACTATCCTTAATCTCTGGTGTAAAAATTTAGAAAATTTTTATAATTAATGAAAAAGCCAGCAAGAATTCATGAAAAAAAATTATATTAGACCAGTTGTCAATTTCAGACCTCATATGCTATGTCAGAAGTACTGGACACAGTGCCTGGCACATCATAGTTGCTCTACAAATATTCACTGAATATAAGAATGACTGACTTCATTTCCTTTTTTGACCATATCACTACTGTTGAAGAGTAAGTGTAAAAACAGTGTGTATATTACAAAACATTTTGAGGTACTTTAATAATAACATACTTGACTACAAAGCTAGTAGGCCTATCTGGTACATATAGAAGATCAACAGATTATTGAATAGCATGAATATGGCACATGCTGAGTATATGGCAGTTAATAAAATAGACTAAATTTCTGTTTTCATGGAGCTTACATTCTAATTGGGGGAGATGGTCAATAAACATATTAATAAAAATGTTATGTCAGATGGTGAAAATAGTAAGGAGAAGCATAAATTGAGGCATGATGTTAGAGAGGAACTGGCTGGGTGGTCTAGGGACAGTCATCTAGAAACAATGGTTGAAGATATAGAAGGAGTAAGTCATGAGGATGTCTGGGAAAACAGTCAAGCAAGGACTTCCATAATATTCTTATGGACAAAATAAGGACATATGGGCTTTTTAAAAAATTCTTTTAGGAGTACTCCAAACAAACAATGATTATCTTCCAACAGTGCTGATGACACGGACTTGAGGGAGGTTTTTAGTATCATGTAGTGCAGCTCTGACCTGAGCTCTGCATGGTTAATAATTGAGTCATGACTCAAATACATGAAAAAATGCCTAATTAAATTTTAGGATGATACAAAGCTGGGAAAGAACTTACAACCCATAGAATACAGAAATAACATTCAAAAAAGTCTTAAAGGGTGAAGTGAATTGCTCTAGACTAACAAGATAAAACTGCCAATGTCCAAAAAGTTTTCTGCAAAGCACATGATAAGATGATGTGACAATACATAAAAAAAAGAACATCTCAGGACTTTTTCTTGACACTAAGCCCAATCTGAGTGTTGTCATGTGGCTGTTCCCCAAAAGGTGATGAATTATTAAGAAACTATTAAGAAAAGTATTTAGGACTAGAGGGTAAATGACAGTTCCATTCAATTTTAAAGTGGTCAGACCACATGGAGAACATTTTGTTCAGTTCTGAGGATCAAAATTTAAGAGAGATTGAAACACAGATTCATATACATAGTATCTGGGATTAAAACCCATGTCATAAGGACTCTGGTTGGCAAGGAGAAGGCTGTAACACAACAGTGTGAGGGGCAGGCTGTAGCCATCCTCAAATATCAAAAGAGCTGTCCTGTAGAAGCAGAATTGAACTGACTCAATTTATTACACAGAGAAGGTGTTTTGGGTGATCACATAAGAAAATGTCATGGTTATTCAAGAATGGATGTTGAGACTCTCCTGTCATAGGATAACTGCCTTGGGAGGCTGGAGATTGTTGTAGTGAGGACCCAGGGGACTGAGTGATTGCTAAGGAACTTCCACATGTAGGGTTCCCTAAACTGATATCATAGATTAGTCTCTCTTTCTAGCAATACTGAAGCAGCAGTTTGCTTCCCTTTCCTCTCCCATTTTATTCTAGGAGGAGGAAGTGCCTTTAGTAAAGGTTTATTTTTTTCACTTAATTTTTCTCAAAATTTTTTGTATTACTTTTTCTATTGTTCTAACTTCCCTACTAATTATTTCTTAGAACATTTTTGATATTTATAATAATCTTCAATTATGTACTTTATTGTGAAAAATATAGCAAAATAATATGTAAAAATAAAGTGAGTTACACTTAGTGTTAATTACTCAGCAACTACCTCTTATTTGCTGTCATTAGTTAGATGCAGGGTAATTGAAATCACTACTATCTACTGCCTTAAGATACTTAAATCTTTTACTTTACACAAATATTAATTCAAAATAAAAAAAAATTAGTTCAAAAGCATAAAATTACAAAACTTTTTGAAGATAACATAGAAAAAAACATTCAATACCTATGGCTTAATGAAGAGTCCTTAGACATGACAGCAAAAGCATCATCATAAAAGAAAAAATGGTTAAGTTGGATTTCATCAAAATTAACAGTTTTGCTTTGTGAAAGACCCTGTTCAAAGGATGAAAAGAAGAAGCTATGGATCAGGAGAAAAATATTTGCAAACTACATATCTGATGGAGGACTTATATCAAGAAAATATATAAACTCTCAAAATTCAACAGTAACCCCCCAAAATTCAATGAGGAAACAGCGTAAGACATAATGAGATATTTCACTGAAAAGGATATATAGATGATACATCTATAACCATTCATCATTAGCCATTAGGAAGATGCAAATTAAGACCATGATGAGATACTTGTATACATTTACTAGAAGAACTAAAATAAAAACTGTGGTAATACCAAATGCTGGTGAGGATGTGAAAAAGCTGGGTCTATGACACATTGCTGGTGGAATATAAAATGGTACAGACTCTCTGGAACACAGTTGGATAGTTCCTTAAAAATGAAGAATGCCCTTACCATGTGACTGAACAGCTGGGCATTTATCCCAGAAGAATTAAAACTGATATTCATTCAGAAAGTTGCACAGGACTATTCACAGGAGCTTTATAATAATTGCCAAAGACTGGAAATAACCAAAGTGTCTCTCAATAGGTGAATGGTTAAGTAAGTGGGGCATACTCATACTGTGGAATATTATTCAGCAATTAAAAGAATAATGAATGGGGTAACAACTTGGATGCATCTCAAAGGCATTATGCTAAATAATCAAAGGCAATCTCAAAATACCACACACTATATGATTCTATTTATAAAGCATTCTCAAAATGACAAAATTATAGAGATGGAAAACAGATAAGTGGTTTCCAGAGGCCAGGGATGGTAAAGGGCAGTAAGCAAGTGTGACTGAAAGGAGGAGCCTGAGTGCTGTCTGCGGTGTGGGGTAGTGCTGTATCTTGATTGATTGATTATACAGATTTACACAGGTGACAAAGAGATACAGAACTATATATATGCATTGTATTAATGTCAAATTCTTGGTCTTGAATTGTGCTATCATTATGTGTGATGTAACTATTAGTGGAAACCGGGTGAAGGGTACATGGAACCTCTTTGTATTATCTTTGCAGCTTCCTGTGAATCTATAATTTCAAAATAAAAGTAAAAAAAGCCATATTCCCCAATTTCAGTTAAAACATAATGACTTTGTATTTTGTACTATAATTATATCTATATCTGTGGTCTAGGAATAACTAAAGCCATTAGGGCAGGAAGAAGGGACACTGAAGATAAGAATTAGGAACAAACTGACAGTAACCAGAGAGGTGGGGGGAGAGGGATAATAGGGGAAGGACTATCAATAAATGTATAAAGGACACATGGACAAAGCCAAAGGGGGTAGGTTCGAAGGTGGGAGGTGGGGATGGGTAGGGCGGGGGAGGGTGTGGTATGGTGAAAATGGAGATAACTGTACTTCGACAACAACAAAAATAATAAAACAAAATAAAATATTAAAAGAAAAAGAATTAGGGGCTATGGAAAAGGGAGAGATATTTTGTTGGCTAGGTGGAAAAATAACTAAGGCCTTCTTAAAGCTATTAATCACAAGGATACACATAGTTTTAAAAAGTAATCACCTTAACATGAAATTCATCATCCAATAAGATATTCTGAGTCTTTAAGTCATGATGAAGTAGAGGAGGATTCATATTGTGCAGGTAATTTACGCCCAGTGCAATTTCATGCAGGATGCGAAATCTTAATGGCCAAGCAACATCAGGATATTCTGTTTTCTTCATATATACAAGAAAGAAACAAAACCAAAATCACTGGCCAAATTTCATTACATTCCCATTTAGAAAATTAAACTTTCCATGATGAAATACAGTATAAACTAAAGTCAAAACATATGCTCATTTTTATTACATAGTATCAGTTTGACATTAACATACTTGTATCTTATTTTCCTTACTTTTTAGGGAAAATAATAATTATATAGCATTAATACTCCCTTTTAGTTTATATTAGTACTATAAACTACATGATATCAAATCTTTTTCTTCTGCTGACACAGCTTCAATTATTTTTTAATTTGTATAATATCTATACACATAAACCTATACCTATATCCATCTTCCCATTCTTTGGCTTATATCAAGTAGTCTGTGCATGCACCATGCACACACAAAATTCATTTCTAGTCCATACCAAACCATTTATTCAAATTAATGTTTTAATTTTCCTATTAATATAAAAATATAACTTAAGGTATTATAATCATTGCATAAATTAAAAAATATGACCATATTATGTTTATTGACTAAGCATTAATATCCCATACTTTTAATTATATAGTTAATTTATTTGCATTCCAACTTGAAAAATTAGCCTTAGGTTTTATTTTTATGGAGACAAAGATCATCTTCATTTATAAAGCATATATAATACAGACACATTACAAATGTTTTATATTTTTGGTGCTTAAAAGTGATATCCATCTGAACTTTCATAAAATGTTTCTGAACATAAAAATTAATGCAGCATCTCAGGAGAATGAGTATACTCAGAAAAATTAGATATTCTGGGGAGATCCTCCAATGAATCCTCAGGCACCAGCCACTGGGTACATTTTTCTAAATGATATGAAAAAGCACACTTCTACTGAAAGCTCCAAACTGTTATCGAGAAATTTTTCTGTAAGTGGATCAGTTTATAATGCAGTGATCAACTTGGCAGGGAAGTGGGTCAAAATACTTTGTGTTTGCATTGTAGTTTGATTTATTTCAATAATCTTGTGTGTGGGTAGAGGAGGGTACTTCAAGATAAATCCCACCCTAATAATGCGATACAGAAAACCAAAAGAAACACACATATTCATGTTGAACATTACTTCTTGAATAACTGAATCTTGAGTAACTGAATCTATTAATCTGTAAAAAGGTAACTTTTCTGAAAATTATGTAGTTTTAAAGCCAGAAGAAGTCCTCTTTATACTATAGTGTTAAATAAGGGCTTCTGGTCATGATTCCTTCCAGGAGTTAGTAGTCCTCCTACAGGAGGCTCTAGAAGTCCTAGTGGGCTCCAAATTTAGGTGTCTGAATATCTACTAGAGTGCTGAGGTATGGGAATAAAACATTAATATTTCTACTGATTTTTCAAAAAGAAAAAATATGCTTAATTAATATTTGCAACTTGATTGCTGTGGTGGTTACACAAATCTCATACACTGACACCAGCTACTAGGCCCCATCCTGTTTTAGATGGTCACATCATAAACAAAGAGGGAGTCACTCCACCAGGGGCTGACTGTGGCACCCACTCTTTCTTTTCACTTACAGAATACTGACCTATCAGGATTTAGGAGCACCCCAAAATTGGATTTTACACTTTATATTATCCAGTTTTAACTAAACCAACTTTCACTAAATGGACTGAGTGGTACAAAAAGACTTACTGAGAGAAACTGCAGGTTGGAGATAATATCAGCTTAAGCAAACAACAGATGAATACTCATATTTTGAGAATGAAGAGTCCTTAATTTGTTTACTGATGGGATTCACAGTCAAAGCCAGAGTAACTGGTACCTTGAGAAAAAAAGTAAATGGCTCATGCCATTGTTGATTGTGGAAAAGCTAACGCATTTGGTATTCAGAGGTAGATTTATTCTGCCTATTAATTTAGAGCTTTATGAACTGGTATTATCAACATTTAGCTTGAACCCTAAATTGTGTTTAACATAAAGTAAAATCCAGCCTAACTAACAGTGGACTGTACAGAGAGCAGAGTTTATCTTTTCTCTCTGTTACATCTACCTGTGTAAATATACACGTGGAATAAGACAATTCAGTGTAAAATTCAGGAACAGTAACCTAAGCAAAAAATCTAGGTCCCTTAGAATACAAGGCCTGACTCCACATAATTTTTAACAACACAAAAGAAGCTGTAAATGGTGAAACTTTACAATTGTAATTGTTTTTCATTATTCTTATTTTGGTTCATCCATATATCCCCAAATAAGTTGATCATTTGTAAAACTAAAACCCTATATAGCTTGATTCACAGAAATCAAGCCACTGAATATTATAGCCACTGAAAGTGTACAATACTTACCCTATGTAGGAGTTCATTTAATGATCCATTTGGCATGTATTCAGTAACTATTCCCAAAAATTCAGGCTCATTGCAAATTCCCAAAATAGGAAGAATGTAACTAAATCTAGCTTTGTGTAAAATTTCAGCTTCTCTTAAGACATCATTTCTTTCACTAAAGGAAAAAAAACATAATTATTTTAAAGTAATGAAAAACACAGTTATCATGTACATGATATTAAGTTAGTCTAGACTTTTTCAGTAATTAGCTTTTAACTTCTTGTGAATTATGCAACTTCTCTGTCCTTTAGTTTCATCATGGATAAAGTAGGGAAAACACCTGCCTTATGTATTGTAAGGTTTGTTTAGAGACCAAAGTAACTTTTATAAGCCACTGACAAAAAAAGCTGTACCTAGGTTATCATTAAAGTACTTTTCTAGGAAAGGGAAAGAACACAAGAGATAAGTTTATAAAGTCTGTATTAGAATGATTAGTGTATGAACTAATTAAATGAATAAGTTTATGTTGTATTAAAATGACATTTGATTAGGATATTATATTAAAGTTTATGGTTATATACTATGTAAAAACTTACCAAATATCCTGAATATTAAAACATCTAAATGTTGTAGATTTAAATGACTATGTGACAGTTGCATGAGGGTCAATAATACTTAGAAATTATATTCTGGAACCCAGGGAAAGAACACTGAGAACAGGTGAGTGCTCCTAACAGATGCCTGGGATAACTCTGGGTCCCAGGTGCATTTGCTTATTCATATACAAAACAAATAAATATCAAACTATTATTAAGAATAAATTGTGCTCAGCAGTATGGAGAATATAAAGATGAAAAAACAGTGTGTGCTTTCAAGCTGCCCAGAAATCTTTTAAGAAAAATACGTATAGCACTGGGAATATAGGCAGTAATAATGTAATAACTATGTATGATGTCATGTGGGTACTAGATTTATTAGGGTGATCACTTTAAGTTATATAATGTCTAATCACTGGGTTGCACATCTGAAACTAATATATTTTATGTCAACTCTAATTGAAAAATAAAAAAAATAAGAAAAAAAAGAAAATACTCATTGTCGTTTTGATTTGCATTTTTTCTGATGGTAAGTGATGTTCAAATACCTGTTGGCTTTTTGTATGTCTTCTTTGGATGTGTTAATTATCTTGATTTGGTAATCATTCCACAATGTATGTATATCAAATCATCATGAAACACATTTTATATTTTCTTTTAAGTATATTTTATTGATTATGCTATTATAGTTGCCCCATTCGCCCCCTTTTATTCCCCTCCACCCGGCACCGCCTCCCACCCTCATTCCTGCTCCCTTAGCTCATGTCCATGGGTCATACATATAAGTTCTTTGGCTTCCCCATTTCCCATACTATTCCTAACCTCCCCATGTCTATTTTGTACCTACCATTTGTATTTCTTTTTTTGTTTATATTTAGAATTTTATTAAAAAAACAACAACAAGACATCACAACCATGAACATTGTTACAACTAGTTAGAGGCCCTCTTGGTTCTTCACAATGATACTAAGCATGCTCACAAGGGGTTCCCATTGTTTAGTCTTAAACAACCATCTTTAGAAGGAAAAAAAAAACCAACTCAGCACACTATCATTTAACTTGTTTTAATGTTTCTTTACCAATGGTGAAATAGAATAATCATAATGTTGTAACCAACATTATAAATATGGAATTATAAATTTTAAACATTTTCTGGTTTAAAAAATAAATCTCGTAGTCAATGCAGCTCTGTGGCATCTTTGCATCTAGTAGGGTTGGTCTCTTCGCTCCTGATGGTGTTCACCTTTATCCATTTTTCCAGGGCCTCCACGCCCTCCTCTTCTTCCTCCCATCTGTTCCATCAAAGGTCCAGGAGGACCTCCAGGGCCACCTCGTTTTCATCCATCAAAGCTACCTCAGTCCAATAACCAGCCACCATGGAAGCCACCTCTGTCTCCACCATGGCCACCTCTGAACATGCCACCAGGACCACCACAGTCCCCGCATCCCACCAGGGGCACCTCTGTCACGGTCATCACCTGGAGGTGGAAAGGGTGGTGGGAGGAAGCCTTCAGGCTTCGGGGCCTTATGCTGGCTGCATTCTGTTCTCCAGGCAAAGTTCTGGTTTCCACACCCTGGATTGGGGCACTGCTAGTCTCCCACTTGGTGCTGGACATTTCCTCCTCCAGATGGGTTTCCTCGGAAATCCCAGGGTCTTCTTGGGGGAAAGCCTCCTCCATCTCTACTATGGCCTCCCATGTGGTCCATAGGAGCCCCAGAACCTCCTGGGCCCCCTGGACCTCCACAGAGCAGTGGCGGCATCCCCCTGCCCTCTCAGGGTGTCAAACCCACCCCGCTCCAAGCTGTTCATTGGAGGCTTCTTCTAAGCAAGATAAACTTTAAGTTTGCTACCTTGAAAATCTTTCCCATCAAACCACTCCACGGTGGCTTTGGCAGGTGACGGATCTTCATACCACATTGTAGCATCACCTTTGGGCTTTCCCATTTCATTGTCTAAGTATACATGGATCATGGGTTGCCCGGTTTTCTTGTTCATCTTAACAACTCCGCACTGCCTGAAGAAGTCTGTCAGATCATCTAGAGTCGCATTGTCATTTAATCCTTGTACATAAATTGCATCGTTGTTAGAATCTTCATCTGAATCAACAGGTGGGCCTAGATCAAGACCTGGTCCTTCATCCAGAGGTACATCAGGCTTATTGAAGCCACCTCGCTCTCCAGCACTGCCCATTCCAGTGTCACCTCCTCCCCACCCACCTCTGCTCAGGCCTCCACAATCAAATCCCCCTCTTCCCCTGACCTGGTTATCAGGGCCACTCATGCTTCGCTTCTCTCCTGGTCCAGAAAATCCTCCAGACTCCTGCCCATAAACACCCATGCTACTGGGGTGGTCCTGTTGGAATGAACTCTGCTGCCCATAGCTGCTGCTCTGTTGGCTATACTGACTTGGAGCCTAGCTGTAGGATCCAGTTTGGGGGTGGGTAACTAGTAGGTGGATGCTGCCCATAGCTGCTTTGTTGACCATACCTACTCTGCTGTCCAAAGCTGCTCTGCTGAGTAACTTCTCTGATCATAACTAGTTGGCTGTGTACAGGTAGGAGGATGGGATGGCAGTGCTGTGACTGGCTGCACTGGGTAGCTCCCAGGTACCTGGGGATAACTGTAGTTACTCTGTCCGAATTCCAGATTGGGCTGGTTGTAGCTCCCTGTGCTAGGTTGAGGCTGATTAATCTCAGTGGTCTGTTACCATCCTGTGGTCTTGCAAGTGCCATGTCTGCCAGCTGTTGCCTGTAGGCTGGGTAAGCAGGCTGAGTGCCATATGCAGACTGAGTTGCATAGGAGGCCTGGGTGGTAGTGACCATAGCAGTGGTGGTATCATAAACACCAGTGCCATACCCTTGGACAGGCTGACTATATGCCTGGGGGTCAGTTGGAGCAATATAACCTGCATAAAAAAGTTGCATAGGCTGTCTGCCCATAGATAGCAGTGGCTGCCTATTTCTGGCCCTCCTACCAGTCTGGATGAATATTTCTTCTTTAACTCCTTAGTTGTTGGACTCCACAGTTTGATTTTCTGGCAGTTCTGGTTGTTTTCTGTTTTAAAACTTGTTGTTGTCCTTCTTTTGGTTGTGCGAGGAGGTACAGTGTATTTACCTACACCTCCATCTTGGCCAGAAGATCATGAAGCACCCTTTAAAATGCCAGTCATATATGCAGTCCATGGACCATAAAGAATGGTGGACCCGTAAGATTGTAATGGAGCTGAAAAATTTCTATGACTTAGTGACATTGTACCCATTATGATGCCTTAACCTGGTGTTATTTTGTACACCAGGAGTACATGCTATACAGCTTGTAGCTCAGGAGTAATAAGCTGTGCCATGTAGCCCAGTGTGCAGTAGGCTACACCATCCATGTCTGTGCAAATGCCTTCATGATGTTTGCACAATGACAAAATCATTTAACAATGCAGTTGTTAGAATGTAAGCCTGTCATTAAGTAGTACATGGCTGTATACAATTGTATTTGTCAGTTATTCTTTAATAAAGTTAAAAAATAAGAAAAACAAAAATAAAAATAAACACTTAAAATATAAGGCAGAATGTGATTAGTTCTCCCCACAAACTACCTAAATGAATAAATAGACAACTGTGAGAACCCAAAGAAAAAAGAGTAAACTTTGGGCTTGGGGTGTCACTACAGTCGTCAGAGAGGTGGGATTTCAACTACACTTTAAGGATGGATAGAATCTCAATGTTTGGAGAAAGGACATCCAAGCTAGATTTGGCCTCCAAGATGAGAGGGACCTTGCCTGTTTCATCTGTGTGTCCCTAGGACCTGGAACAGTGCCTGACACATAGTAGATAGTAGATAATAGATATGTACCAAATATATTCAAGGAAGTTAAAGTGAGGGCTATGTTTGGAAAATGGCAAGTCGTCTAATATGAGTCAGGGTATATAGCAGTTGTTATAGAAGTGAAGGTTATTGCTGCAGGTAGGACTACATCTCAGAACCTTAAAGCCAGACAAGGGTGTTTACACTTTATTAGTCTTGAGCTGTGACTGGTTTCTAAGCAAACGAATGACATGAGCAGAACAAACTTTTAGGATTCACCTGGCAGAAGGTTGGAGGATCAGCAGAAAGGTAGAGTTTGAAAGTCAGGTGTTAGCTATAATACTAGTTAAGATGTGAAGCAATGAAAGCCTGAAACTATAAAGGTCACAGTGGAAATGGAAAGAAAAACATCAGCTAACTAGCATGCCTAGGCTGTGGTGACTGACTGACTCACTACAGGTATTACAAAAAAGGATTTAAAGATGTCATCAGTTTTCACTCTATGAATGGGTGTTGGTAGCAGCAGTAATAGAAATAGAACAGTCTCCAGGAGAAGCCTGCTAGGTAAATGATGGTGATTAGTTGGGTCTTAAACCACCCAACCTCTGGGTAAATGGCAGTTGCAAGAAGAAAAGCAATAGACATTCCAGACCAGACGGATGAGGCCTGCTTTAAAAGTAAACAAAAACAAAATATAGCAAAATATCTTATTTATGTTTTGAATAAATGATCATATATGTTTATAATTGAAGAGTTACACAAGGGTACACACTCTGCTCTTCACCCATTTATTAAGCTCCCAGGTGAGAGGCATGTTTTAATTAAACTTCTTTCCCTAAGTTGGAACGGTTCTGTATTTGCATCAAGAGATGTAGGTCAACAAGAGAGGTACTGGGTAGCACACTGGCAGGGAGGCAGAGGTACTACACTCTTTCCTCCTCCCAGTAGGAGGGGTATGAGGCATTCTTCCTTCTAGTTTGATCTATTACGTGTCAGCCACTTTATATACCCTGTCATTCTACTATCAACCCCTAAAGTTTGGTTCATTACCCCACTTGGGGTAATATCTGAGGACACTGAGGCTCTAGTCAGTTCATAATTTTCTAATGGTCACGCCAATAATAAGTGGCAAGGTTGGAATCAGATTTGAATTGCAATTGTGAGACTCTAAAGCTTGTGCTTTTTCCATTCTAGTGCATGATCGGAGAAGACAGCGGGTTCTTCAAATCAGGTTTTGGGAAGATTTAGTGATTGGAAAAAACAGAAAAAGCCAAAACAGTTTAAAAAGTTTTTTATATATTTAAAAATAAAAATGTGTTTTGGAGATCAAACCCTTGTCCAAAGTATCACTGGCAAATGTTTTCCCAAATGGTTGGTTTCCTTTTCATTTTAATGATGGTTTCTTTAGCAGTGCAGAAGCTTTTTGATTTGATGTAGTCACTTTTATTTATTTTTTCCTTAATATCCCTTGCCCTAGGGGACATATAGGTGAAAATACTGCTCCATGTGATATCTGAAATTTTCCTGCCTATGTTCTCCTTTAGGACTTTTATGGTGTCATGATTTACATTTAAGTCTTTTATCCATCTTGAGTTTATTTTGGTGTATGGTATAAGTTGGTGGTCTAGTTTCTTTTTTTTGCACATGCAACTGTCCAGATCTCCCAACAGCATTTATTGAAGAGGCTATTTTTACTCCACTTTATATTAATGTCCCCTTTGTTGAATATTAATTGACGATAGAAACTTGGGTTTATTCCTGGGTGCTCTATTCTGTTCCATTGGTCTATGTGTCTGTTCTTATGCAGTCAGTACCTGACTGTTTTGATTGTAGTGGCCTTTAATATGGTTTGATAACTGGTACTGTGATCCCTCCTACTTTGATCTTCTTTTTCAAAATTACTGAAGCTCTTTAGGGTCATTTATAGTTCCACATAAATTTTTGAATTATTTGCAAAGATTTGATCTTGTAAGTATATTAAAAACTCACATGACTCCACACCAGGAAGACAAGACAATTCATTTAAAAAAACGAGCCAAGGCCCTGAAAAGGCACTTCTCCAAGGAAAACATACAGAGGGCACAGAGGTAGATGAAAGGATGTTCAATATCACTAGCTATCAGAGAGAGACAAATTAAAACCACAATGAGATGCCATTTCACACGGGTCACAATGGCCATCATAAACAAAGCAACAAACAACAAATGCTGGCAAGGCGTGGAGAGAAGGGAACCTTAGTACACTGTTGGTTGAAATGCAGACTGGTGCAGCCACTGTGGAAAACAGTTTGGAATTTCCTCAGGAAACTAAAAATAGAACTGCCTTTTGATCTGGCAATTCCACTGCTGGGATTATATCCTAAGAATCCCAAAACACCAATTAAAAAGAACCTATGCACCCCAATGTTCACAGCAGCATTACTTACAATAGCCAAGGGCTGGAAACAACCTAGGTGCCCATCAATAAATGAGTGGATCAAAAAATTGTGGTACATTTACACATGGAATACTACACATCAGAAAGAATGAAGGAACTCCTACCCACTGCAACAGCATGGATGGAACTGGAGAGCATTATGATAAATGAAATAAGCCAAGCAGTAAAAGACAAATACCATATGATCTCACTTGTAAGTAGAAGCTAATCAACAAAGTAAACAAATAAGCAAAAAAAAGAAACAGAGACACTGAAATGAAGAACAAACTGACAGTGACCAGAGGGGAGGGTGGCAGGGGTTAAAGGGGGAAAGAATGGGAAGGGTTAAGCCAAGGAACATGTATAAAAGGACCCATGGACAAGGACAATGGTGGGATTGTCTTTGGGAGCAGTTGAACAGGGAAAGCAATGGGGGTAGAATTGAGATGACTGTAATTGAACAACAATAAAAAAAAATTAAAATGTAAAATACAGCTTCTGTAGACTTATCACCAAAAAATTATCAACAAAAAAACACTTACGGTATCTACAGGGTGTTTGAACGACCTGTTAGTACCATTATACTCCTAAGGAGTTGGGAAATTGTTGGGGAATGCCCTCTCAGGAGCTGAAATCAGGTTACAGAGGAGGATTGACCAATTGCTAAAATAAGAACAAGAACCATCATATACACTTATTTTTCTTTCAGGTTATCCCAAAGAACAAAGCAAACATTATCCACACCAGAGCCCAAGAAGTCCATGTATTTATTATTCCCATTTTATAAGTGAGGAAATAGCCTGTGAGCCAACAGCACACAGCTCAGCCCTGTGCTCAGTCTATGCAAATACTGCTGATGTTCACATGCCAGGAATCAAGTGGTAGAAAAGCATGTGATGCAGAGATGCTGGAGTATTTCACTAGTCTTATGGCTTTTTTGAAGACAGAATTAATTTCCTACCCATTTAGTGAAGAATTTTAGATTATGAAAATTATTAAGGAGTAAGCAAAGGTAACTCCCTCTCCATTCCTTGGCCCCCAAAAGGCACAAAACTTGAATTAATATCCACAATGGAGGGTCAATTAGCTTTAGAAAAGGTCCCTCAGCACTGACTTTCAGTGTATTTGCACAGTAGATTCCCCCGCCACCCCACAGATCGGCTGCGTGCTGTCCACACACTTGTCTTGCACTTGCGCAGAATTAAAGGCCCAGGGTAAAGAGGCCGCACCCTGCGTTGATGAGGCTTGGGTTGGGGGTATGCATGAGGAGGGCCCGCCTTAGGGGCGTCGCCAGTCTGCTGAGTTCTGGGCCAGACAGGCCGGATACCATAGCAGCTACAAAACGCAGGGGCCAAAGCTGAGGAAGGGCTTTGACGAGAGCCACTTCGACTCGGAAGTGAGCTAAGTAGAACGGACAGGAAGAGCAAAGGGAGGTCACGGCCGGCCATGCGTGGTTGAAGTGCTTCCTGGAAACAGAAAGTAGAGCTCCCACTAAGTCGTGCAGGATGTGCCAGGCTGTCCGAGTTTCTGACCCTGTTTAAGTTCTGATTCAGGTCACTGTTAGCAGAAAGCACAGTATTTCCTCTGCGACAGGCTCTCCTGTGAGAATAAGCCTCAGTGACCAAGCGTTGAGCCGCAGAGTAAGTACAAGGGCCCCAAGCCCAGACGTCCCAGACCCAGAGCCTAAAGGGACACCCACGACGCCCCGTGGTGGGTGCCCGGTCCAGCCACACTGGATGCTCAAGGCGCAGTGGGCAGAGTGGCCGGGAACGCGAGACGGGGACCCAGGGAAATGCCCGCCACGGGGACAGTGCGTGGGGACCAGATACAAGGAGGGAGCCGGGCTTCCCGGCTGTCGCAGTCTTCGCGGTGGTGCGGAAGGACCTACCTGTCTAGCAGAGGGGTGTGGATGTTCAGGTGCTTCACAGCCACCTGCACGCGCCAGTCCGAGTGGCGCGCAGACGACACGGTGCCGGACGCGCCGCGGCTGAGGAAGCGCAGGTCGGCCAGCTTGTGCGAGGGTACGGCGGGCAGCGCGCTGCAGATGGGCTCCACGCTCATGATTCCCGGCTGCGCGGCCGCACCCGGCTGCCCGCTTCTGGTTCCTGTACCGTCCTGCTGCCGGCCGGAACCCCTGCTGCCGGATGGCACTAAGTCGCCAGGACGCCCATGCCCACGTCGCGCGCCGCCCAACGCTTTCCGGGAGACTAGCGAAGTGCGGTCAGGAAGGACACTGGTGGCTCCACAGGGGCTGCAGGGAGGAGTCTCCGGCTCACCAGCCCGCCCGGCCGGCAGCCACCGACTCCTCCTCTTAACCCTCCCACACCACGCCCCCTTCCCCGCCCGACCCCTCCCCCAACACCACAAGCTTCCGCCGGCTCCTCCCCAACCAAGCGCCCCCGCCCACGTCCTCCGGCTCCTCCCCTCATCCTGCCCACATCCATCACCCGACCGATCCCACCCCCAACTCCTCTACACTCGGAAGGCTCCAGCCAATGCAATCGCCACCTGGCCCCGGCCCCGCCCCCGCTCGTTGGCTTTTCGCGGCACACCTCTACAAGCAGTTAAGGCCCGAGTCCGCTTACTCTGCGACTCTTGAAGGCGGTGAAGAAGCAGCACACCCATTTGGCCCCCTGGCTCGGGTTTGGGGACGCGCTGTCGGCAGCCCGCCGGTTTGTCAGCCCTCTTGCCCTGGGCACAGTCTCCTCAGCTCCGCTTCTTGACCAGGCGGGGAGGTCGGCTCCCGCACTGACCAGGCTTCACACCTGAGGAAGCGCAGCGAGCCAAGTAAAGCTTAGGGCGCCAAGTTTGCGGAGTCGGGTAGGGCAACTAGTCTCAGACACACGCTCCAAAGCCCTCAGCCTGCGGACCTAGCTAAGATCAGGACCAACGGACCAACGGCGCCTCAGCGACAGAAGGCTAGGCGGCCATTTGCGCCCTTGTATGTTCTTGTGACCGGGGTGTGCGAGAGCAGCGGCGTCCTAAGAGCTCGCGTCACTCTCAGTGAGAGGCTCTGTATCACACGTGGGTCACACTCCGTGCTTTGTCTTCAGTGAGCGCTTGGCTAGAGTGTTGTACAAACTCAATCATTCCCTCTGTCACTTACTCATCCTTCACTTATTCACTCACTAATGCATTCACTCATTCATTCAGCCACTCATTCTCTCACTTCACTCATTTATTTATTAATTCGCTCATTCATTCGCCCACTCACCCCCTCACTCATTCACTCTCCCACTTACTCCCCCCACTCACTCACTCTCCCACTTATACACTCTTTCATTCACCCACTCATTCATGTACTCGCTCATATATTCATTCACCCATTCACTAACTCATATTTACTCACGCATTCATTGATTCATTCACTTGTTCACTCATTCCTTCACTTACTCATGCATTTATGCATTCATTCATTCGCTCACTTGTTCTCTCACTCATTTTCTCTCTCACATGCTCTTTTATTATTCACTCATTCACTCACTCATTCACCTCATGAGGTAACAAAGAGTTCCAGAACAGGAGAACAGAAAACAAGGGACAGGAAATGACCCCAAAATAATTGAAGCACTTTTCCTGGCCTAAAGCACAGGGGTCTCCACACTGAGAGGAACCATGTGAGACTTGTCATTAGGAAGCTCAGGACACTAGGAATACAGAAGATTTCAAGAGTTTTCAGATGGGAATTGGAAGGCCACTGGATTTCTCAGCATTAACACTTTTATGCTAAAGCCCAATGGACTGAAATGTCTTTAAAATTCTGGAAGAGAGTAACTTTAACCTAGAAATCTGTAGTCAGTCAAACCAACCATCAAGTACAAGGGCAAGATAAAAACATTTTCACATACACAAGAAGGCAAGTTGATGCAGACACAGGCCTGCACTGTCCACCTCATTATGGATTAAATGAGACATTCACACAGACTACTGAGTCTGGTGGAGGAAAAGGGACAGCATGGCTTTTCTTTCAAAGGGAGCAAAAGCCTTGGCCCTTGCGGTGACTGGCCTTTATTGGGTTTCTAGGCACATTACATGATGGTCCTCATTTACTATGCACGGGTTCGCTTTAGGTGGTTACCTTTTACAGAAAACAAAGGAACCAATGTTTGCAAATGAAAAGGCAAAAGTGGTTGAAACAGTTATACTCATCCTTGGAAGGTTAAACATGGATTTTAGGAAGTTACTTTGCAGTAAATGTCCTCAATTCAGGGTGAGGGAGTATTTTAGCAAGAGCAAGACTCAAAGTGGCCTAAGCACATTGCAGGCCTGATTCCCCATGGGAGAACCTATCCATGGGTGTGGGTCCTGTGCATCTCTGAGTGGGAGCTGGGCCCACGCCACGCAGAATGGTCTCCTACAGCAATATTTACTTTCTACCCATCCACCTTTTTAGAAAAAACTCTGTTAGAGGATGTGCTCCAACAAACATGGAAATAGTCAGAAAAGAGAAAGACTTGGTATCCAAAAAATAGGACATGGACAATGTGAGGGTAAACCGAAGGATGGAAGAACTGTCTTCAATTTATCTACCACAACCTCAGATCCTTACCTTTCATAATAGTTTTCACCATATACAGTTTTTGAAAATATAGCCCTGGCTGGTGTAGCTCAGGAGATTGAGCATGGGCCTGTGAACCAAAGGGTTGCTGGTTTGATTCCCAGTCAGGGAACATGCCTGGGTTGTAGGCCAGGTCCTCAGTAGAGGGCCTGCAAGAGGCAATCACACATTGATGTTTCTCTCCCTGTCTTTCTTCTTCCCTTCCCTCTCTCTAAAAATCAATAAATAAAATATTTATAAAATATGTTATTAATCATATATAGTTTAATTAATTCCCATAATTAATTGGTTGACAAGAAAAAGCTTAAGGAATACTTACACTGAAGTACATCAACTAAATGAGAAAAAAGTAATTATCCAAATCAAGCTAAAATCAATTCACCAGTTACAAATCCTCTAAAATCAAGATTTGTTTTCCCATGTGCTATTTTAGGAAATAATAGCTTGGAATCTCTTATCTCTTTAAATAGAAATGAGACAGGAAAATTGAAAAATGAACTGCATAAAAAGTAGAAGTCCAAGAATTTAAAATATTTCATATTCTAGTTTTTTAAAATTTTTAGTTGAAAAGCATCTATTAAGTTTTAAAAACAAGTTCTGGAGAAGTCTCTATAATTACATAATAATGAAAGTTTTGCATGAGAAAACAAATATTTGGGGTATATTTGGTGTCTTTTCCCCAAAAAGCAATCTTAAAAATACTTGGTATGCTTGATAACATGGAGTCTATTGTTATAAAGAGTCAGAAAAATACACATTTTTGTGGTTAATGAGCACAATAATGTTTTTCACTTAATTATGTTCAGTTATAGATTAAATATGATGTCATTTTAAAATTGATTGATAAATGTATTTCTGATAACTAAATTCTCCACATGTCAATTAGAAAAAGTAAATAGTTGCAGTAGATCTATTAGTAAAGATAATATTAAATCAAGCTTTTAATATAAAGAAGATAATATTAATATCAAGATAGGGAATACTTTTCTCAAACATTTTTCAATTTAAAGTTACATCTTTGTCCTTTAACCTGGAAGACAGTATTTACTTTTTAAGCAGATTTTTAAAAAATTTTCTATATTTATTATTTTTTGCATTTTTTAATTTTTTGTGTTTTTTATTATTTTTTAGCATTTTTTAAAATTGTTGTTCAAGTACAGTTGTCTCCATTTTCCTGACACCACTATCCACCAATCCACTCTAAATCCTTCTCACCTTTGGCTTTGTCCATGGGTCCTTTATACATGTTCCTTGACAACCTTTCCCCTTCTTCCTTTGTTATCTCCCTCTGCCCTCCCCGCTGGTTACTGTCAAGTTGTTCTTTACTTCAATATCTTTGGGTATATTTTGCTTGCTTGTTTGTTTTGTTGATTAGATGCCACTTACAGGTGTGGTATTTGTCTTTTTTTGCCTGGCTTATTTTACTTAGCATAATGCTCTGCAGTTCCGTCTGTGCTGTTGTGAAGGGTAGGAGTTCTTTCATTCTTTCTGCTGTGTGTATTCCATTGTGTAAATATATCACAACTTTTTGATCCACTCATTTACTGATGGGCACTTAAGTTGCTTCCAACACTTGGCTATTATACATTGTGCTTCTGTGTACACTGGAGTGCCTAGGATCTTTTGAATTGGTGTTTCAGGATTCTTAGGGTATAATCCCAGCAGTGGAATTGCCAGGTCAAAAGGCAGTTCCATTTTTAATTTCTTGAGAGAATTCCATACTGTTTTCCACAGTGGCTGCACCAGTCTGCATTCCCACCAACAGTGTACTAGATTTCCCTTTTCTCCACAACCTTGCGTAGCATTTGTTTGTTGCTTTGTTTATGATGGCCACTGTGACCAGTGTGAAGTGGTATCTCATTGTGGTTTTAATTTGCCTCTCTCTGGTGGTTAGTGATGCTGAGCATCTTTTCATATGCCTCTGGCCCTCTATGTCCTTGAAAAAATTTTTTTCTCCTTGAAAAAATCTCTGTTCAGGTCCTTTGCCCATGTTTTAATTGGATTGATTGTCTTTCTGGTGTGGAGTTATGTCAGTTCTTTATATATTTTGGAGATCAAACTCTTGTCTGAGGTATCATTGGAAAACATATTTTCCCATAAAGTTGGTCCCCTTTTCATTTTGCTGTTTTTTTTTATCCTTGCAGAAGCTTTTTAGTTTGATGAAGTCCCATTTGTTTATTATTTCCTTTATGTCCCTTGCTAGGGAACATTATCAGTGAAAATATTGCTGCATGGAGTATCTGAGATTTTCCTGCCTATGTTCTCCTCTAGGACTTTGGTGGTATCACAACTTATATTATTTAAGTCTTTGTCCATCTTGAGTTTATTTTGGTGTGTGATGTATGTTGGTGCTCGAGTTTCATTTTCTTTTTTTTTTTTTTTTTGCATGTAGCTGTTCAAATCTCCCAACACCATTTGTTGAAGAGGCTATTTTTACTCCATTTTATGCTTCTGCCCCCTTTGTCAAATATTAATCAACTATGGAGACTTGTGTTTATTTCTGGGCTCTCTATTCTGGTCCATTGGTCTATGTGTATGTTCTTATGCCAGTACTATACTGTTTTGATTACAGTGGCCTTGTAATACAGTTTGATATCAGGTATTGTGATCCCTCCTACTATGTTCTTCTTTTTCATAATTTTTGAGGCTTTTGGGGTCATTTATGTTTCCACATAAAGTTTTGAAATGTTTGTTTTATATTTGTGGA